ATCACCCGCAAAAAATGGATCAGCCCATCGTGCAAAATTCCAGTTTGCGAGCGCAAATTACTGCACGCAAAATTGGATCTTGATAAATCCGGCCCATTGTGTTTTAACTTCAGATCGACTGTTTACTCTCTGCCTTGAAATTTAGACTTCCCTTTGGCAAAATTTATAAACCGAAGTTATTGGAGATTATAAAGCAAAGATGTGTTATTTCAATATTGTAACTGACTAAAAAACGTAATGCTTGAAAGCTAAAATTGTCAGTTAAGTTAAACCATTTGCGATGTCAAAACTGCAATTTAGGCTTTCGCTTAGGTTATTGCTCATCATGTAGCATAAAATCCAAAAAATGCTTTCACTTTTTCCCTCTTTTTCTTCTCTTTGGGGGAAAGACTAATCATTTTCTAGATTACTCATACATTGAATGCTGATTCACAGCATCAAAGTCTTCTGCCAGGGCCTGATTGCCAAAGAACTTACTTAATTTATGTCTTTATCTGCCTCTGTCTCCTTAAACCCCAGTCAGCTTCAGCATTTTACATCTCACACTGAGCCTGGTTCTCCTGGAAATTTCTTTCTGTTAAAAGGGAGTTTCTTCTCCATGTCACTGCATCCATGCTCAGTGCGAGGGATTGGAGAGTCAATGAGTACTCAGCTGATCTTCCTTAGAAATACATTGAAGAATATGAATATGATTGTGTTATCTGTATAAATAAATTGAATATTTTTTTCTTATTGCAGCTTTTCTCTGTGTGAGTCTCTCCAGGTTGAAATTGTTATTAATTCCTCCAAAATAAAGTTTAAATGCTTGATAATTTACCACATTTGTTTTGGAGAAGAATGTTGTTTCTAAAGTATTTTTTCTGATTGTTATTTGTTGATATCTTTGTATGCCTGCCATTTCTTTTATACATTTCAAACATGTTGTGTTTTTGGTTATGTGTAACTAATTACTAAGTTTGCTTTTCAGCCAACTGAACCTTTACACTACAGTAAACACACTAGTTTAAGGAGGTTAGCAATCAATAGGTCAAGATCCTTTTTTGGTATTAACTTGATCACTCTTCAGCTAAAAGTATGATTCTCCAGCACATCAGCTGGCACTTTTAAGTATTTTTTGAAAGCTGAATTTTTTTGAAATCTGCTGACAGTTCTGACTTTATTTCTATTCCTTAAGATAATTTTTAAAAATTCAGCAATATGTTTTGTGTTGACTTAATCCTCTTACGGTCAGGTTTCAGCTGAGGAATTTAGTTCACTTTATTCATGGTGCATTTTTGCAGGAAATTAATATTTTATGATTTACTCTTGTTTTTTTTATTTACTTCTGACATAAAAACAAATATTGGAAAAATATGCTTTCATATTTTTGGTTGGATTTTCATGTTAAAAGAAGAGACACTGAAAGATGTCTTCAGGGCATCTTTGTTTTGACGTTACTTTCATAAATTATAACAGCTCCAAAAGTCTGATAGACAATGATAAAATCTCAAACATTCAAATACATTTTCAAATGGTTAATTAGCTTTATTTTGAGTTAACAGTTTACAGCTTGGAATTAGCATGAATAGCAATAAAAGGATCTTCCTCTGTATTGCTGATGTAGAAGTGGGCACGGCCATCACTTCCAACATTGACCTGCTTTCCGGTACATCTAGATCCTTCTTTCTGGCCCGAAATAACATCACAGTAGGTTCCACCAGACAAACCAGTGTTGAGGGTTACATCTAAGGCCCTGTAGGGGAAAAATTGGGCAAACATGTTTTATAAACTGTTAAAGCTGACTGTCAATAACAAAGGTAATCATTTAGAATCCCAGTTACAAAGGCTAAAGTACATACAAAATATAAAAATTTGAACTACGGTATAAATATATTCTGCCTTTTATATGCCATAACGCAAGCTTTGGGATCTACATTTTTTTATTATTTTTCTTTTTTTACATAATTCAGTAGTAGATATTGAAAACTGAAATAGTCACCATTATATCATCATTGATTTATTCAAGAGAAAAAAAAAGAAAAAGAAATTTTAAATGGCTTGCTTTCAATTTTTAGGATATACCTTTTATTTTAAGGAACAACAGAAAAAGAGATTCATAAATTATTAAAACATACATGTAAACATTTTTTAAACCATTTTTATAGTTACCACTCCCAAATGACACTGCCAGGTACCTCACCTTAAAATCTTTTTAAGTTTTTTAAAGTTCGCATTATAAATACTTACCAGTCGTCATTGTTAAAAACGATGAAACCACGGTTGCCACGTCCGAAGGCAACCTGGTTGCTTTGATTGTCCCACCAGTTGGCAAAAGGCTGTCCGTTGACCACATTACGGAAAATTACCATGTTCCTTAAAAGGCAGATAAATTTAGACATTTACATTTACACTCTCATATCCTCAGAAATGTACTGTGATGTGGCAACAAACTAACGTGATTTGGCGCCATCTGTGCTCACAAACCCATCCGTCTCCACAGGTCTGGTCAGCGTTGATAGGAACAGGCTTAGTGGATCCATCACTGTAACTGGGAGGACCCATCCAGTCATTCTGATCCTAAAAGGCATGATACAAAAATCAGTTCCAGTGTGTGATATTTCACCACACTTAGAAAATGACTCTATAGAAAAGGAAGGGATACCTTTCCATTCACAATGTTGCGGTTCCAGCGGAAGCTAGACATGACCCTGGTTTGTCCATAAGGATGAGCCAGCATATAGCCCACAGCCATCTTGTGGAGTTTGGCATCCCAGAAGGTAATGATGGATGCACCACCAGCACCATGACCTCTCTGGTTGTCGTGGTTGTCAACAAAGACAAGAGCATTGCCATTTGGCATAAAGCCCCAACCTTCTCCCCAGTTCCTTGAGGCATGAACATATCAAAAATAAGCTGAAGAATCTATTGGTGAAAAACCATAATTTATGTACAAAACTGATAAAACTAATAAATCAAAAAAATATGTACAAAATATTTATGATGTTACACAAAACAAGCCATCCCTCATGTTTTAACAGTGTGCCATTAATAACATAAGGATTAGTCAACATACTTGGTGTAACAAAGCTTCTCGCCATTCCATTTCCTGAAGACAGTTCCCAGTTTGGCACTATATTTAAACTCAGTCACTCTTCCAAGATTGAAATATTCCTTAGCTGAGATGGCCTCTCCTCCTAGATCAATTACCTAGGACATGACATTCTTTCATAAATCCAAAGTAGCAATAGTAAAGCTAACAGGCTAAAAGCAGGAATATTCCAGGTGATGTCAAATTTTCAGTTTGCAGTTTTATCAAAGCTTACCTCCTGGACGATAAAGGGTCTGGAGCCACTGGCAAACCACTTGGTGTTAAGGTTTTTAAGACGACGGAAAATGTTATCCAGGTCACCAGGCCACATGTGCTTGACAGCGTCCACTCTGAATCCAGCCACACCCATGTCGATCAGTTTGTTCATATACTCAGCCACCTTTCCCCTAACATAATCTTTCTCAAGAGCAAGATCGAGCAAACCAACCAGACGACAGTCACGCACCTATAAGGTGTAAGACACCAGTTTCAACAAATAACAAGCAACAACCATGGTGAATGGATGATCATTGATATTAACAATCACCAAAAGAAACCAAAAACTTGTATGTATTATGCTGGTGAAATAAGTATTGAACACGGCATCATTTTTCTCAGTAAATATATTTCTAGAGGTGCTATTGACATAACATGACATGTCGGTAACAATCCATGCAATCCACACATACAAAAAAACTAATCATAGATGTCCAGTAATTAAGTTATGTGTAATAATGTAGAATACCAAAGGGAAAAGGTATTAAACAGTTACTGAAATGTATTTACATCTGGTGAAAATGTCATTTTAATAGCACCTCTAGAAATATAGTTACTGAGAAAAAGGATTTTGTGTTCAATACTTATTTCACCTGCCATTTATTATTCCCTTGAAGTTTGTGTACCTGATATGGATCACCATAGTTTTCAATTTCACCACTACCAGTCCTGCATTTATTGTCATTGAAGTCCCAAGAGGAGTAGGGAACACTGGGGAAGTCCTTTTTGGACGCACTGAACCAGCTGCCACAGGAAGAATGGGTACCCTCTCCACCGCCAGATCCACACATGTGGTTGATGACAGCGTCCACATAAATGTTGACCTGTGAGTAGACACTAGTAAGATAGTCTGCCCAAAATCCTAAGCTTACTTCTCTGTGATGAAAGGACTTTAAACAGACACGTTATTATATACATCGGCCATCACAAAAAGTAGTTTACCCCAACATTGTTGCATCTGGTGATCATGTCCCTCAGTTCAGCCTCACTGCCAGATCTTGAACACAGGTTGTAACTAATTGGCTGGTATCTCTGCCACCAGGGCCTCCAGGGATTGTTCAGAACAATGTGCTCATTGGGAGGAGAAATCTGAACAACACAGTAGACAATTATTCCCATTAAGACACAATCTCTCACAAAACAGTAACCCACTGTTAATCATGGAGCATTAAAGGGAGTACCCTTGAGCAATTTCCGTTTTTCTAATAATTGTGTGTATTATCGAATACAGCTTGTAAAACTAGAGGTAGCTGCTAGTTTTTGAAAGATGGGACGCTCAATGGTGTTACTTAATTTCAAAGCATAAAGTATTGCATTAATGAATTTTAAAATGCATAAAGCACAGTAGTACAATGGGTAAAAGTAGCTTTAGTAAAGCTCTCTGAAATAATGAAGTCCAGAGACCACGGCAAAAGTTTAGCACAAGAAGGCTGTTCTGACTGAATAATCGCTTTATCTTCTCTCATCTGGCTCCCCCTCTGTTCGGCCACTGTTAGTCAAAAAGTCTTTCAAGGTGTTCTGCCAATAAGCAATGAGCTGCCAGTTTCATGCCCCGCCCCAACCCACCCCTGCTCCATAAAGCACATGAGAGGCTGAGCCTCGCTGTTGTATGAATTGAAGTGGTTGTTTCATTGCAGACTCAAGCCTCAACAGGGATTTTACATAGAACCTGCCAGGCATGTTCTGCTTCCCCAGATTGCAAGGGATATTATGTCCAACAGTTTGCTAAACAGATATGCATTTTACAAAACAGTTAATTATTATGCAGAATACTCATGAAATCAAGCACATTTTGGCGCAAATTTAACTGTTTAGTGATTACATTTATGAGGTTTAAAAATGGACATTTGACCAGTTAATTTAGTTGTGTAAAACGTAATGAGTAAAAGTAACAAAAACATTTTGTGTTATAAAGATGCAGAGCATGGCTAAAACCTTGTTAAAGCATTCTCTTATTTCCAAAGACCCATTTATGATTGTTTTAATGAAAGAATTCAATATTTGGCCATACACTGGTTGAAATCTGTTTTTGAAAATTCTCTGGGGTTTCTTGTTAACTGCATCCCATCTATGATTTTAAAAAGATGGAGATAGATGCAGAAAAAGGTAGAGAAAGCAAAAAAGGAAATATACAAATACATGAAGTAATAAAAATAGAGAACGTTTTTGATGGTATCTTTTTAGCAAAGTTCCAAACTGCATTACTTTTAATGTTATTGCAGTAATCTCTACATTCTTTGGAAGTCTGTGTAGTAAAAAAATAACACCCCAAAGTACTCCTGACTGAAATTAGATAAAAAATAAAATTTTTAGCTTTGTATCTCTTGCAATAACTTTCTAAACATAATGCTCACGTTAAAATGATTTATTCTTGCTTGAATGTTTACATTTCTGTAATATGACCATGCTATTAATTTACCGACAATAGTTCAGCAATACATACCTGAACACCACCAAAGCCTTTAGGACCCAAGAAGCGCTCACACTCTGCAGCAATGTCAGCCCACCGCCATTCAAACAGGTGGACGATGGATGTCCTTCCACTTCTGAGATTGGGGTTGTGCTGAGCAAGGCTCAGGCCAAACAGCGCTACCAGAATAAGAAGCTTCATGCTTTCTCCTAATGAGAGAGAAAACTGCACTGAATTCCAGCCTTTCCTTGCCTGTTTATATATATGAGTTTATATAATTTCTGAATGGAGATAAGAGTTATCAGTTTTGTGGTTAAGCAGGTGCAACTCTCCCACAGCTGAGTAATGTCTATGCTACACAGATGCTTGATTCTCCAAAATGTCTTTAGTCGATTAAAATCTGTTTCATATTACTATGAAAGAGATTCAGTTTCACTTTCATGGTTTTATAAAGAAATATGCTGCTTTGCCTTTAAAAAGTCATGTTTTGTCCACATAAATATTGACATTTCTTGTCTGCCTTATGATGACAGATATGCGTGGGATGGAAAACACTCCGAAACAGCTGCTCTTCTACATAAAGTATTTTTAGTTCTGTCAATGTGTTTTTTCTATGTATTAGTCTGAATGCCCCCAGAGCCTGACACATCCTGGTCACAGACTGTTTAGACTCTTATCAGGTCAGCACTACAGTGCGTTGTGTGGAAAAAAAAACAAGCCAAAATATGGTTCTCAAGGTTGCTCTCTGAACACCTTGCTGCACACCAATTTAACCCTTTTCTAACATTTCCTCTAAGTTTTTAAATATTTAATCTCTTTTCAACAGAGCAAGGAAATCAAAAGTCCAATATTTATTTGCGCACAAATAATATGTCAGTAAAGGACCACCACCCTCCCAGCATTGAGTGAGTACAGGAAACTGCTTGACCAATCATCCAGAGAGGTTTGTAAACCTTCCTTAAAAAAAAGAAAAATAAATCTCCAATCTCCATGCTAGGACTTTGGAAATCTTTCCTAAAAAAACAAACAAATAAAAACACATTCATACTTACATTATAGACTATAATTCAAACTGGAGGGGCTCCAACAGAGAAAGAAAATGCAAAAGTCAAAGTTTATTTGGTGTAAATAAACCGTTCTTTGGCACTTGGGCCTTGCACAGACTTGATACTGATTGATGAAGAGCACTTGGATCAATAGCTTAGGGGGTCAAGGGGCCCTGGTCTTGAAGTTGGTGTTGGAGAGACAGTGGGTGAAGATTGGCTGGTTAGGAGGGGAGAAGCTTGAGGTAGAACTTAATTAGGGACGTCTTATAAGAGGATTGGCTTCAGGAAGACCAGCTCTCCCATGATGATAGGCTGGATCAGCGGCATCAGTAGGTGATGCAGGTGAGACGACAGGTGTGCAGAAGGTGTACTGAGAGGACAGGTGCACAGAAAGTGCGCTGAGAGGGCAAATGTGCTGAAGGGAATGATGAGCAGATTGAAATCAGATGAACTGATGTTGGATAGATAAGTATACTGAGCAGTGTTGTTTTTGACAGCCATCATAGATTTAGTCTTAGTCTTCAGGACGAAAACTAATATTACCGTGGTCTTAGTTCCATTTTAGTCATTACAATATGTGATAGTTTTAGTTGGTTTCAGTCGACTAAAACTTAAAAAGGTTTTAGTCAACTTTTAGTTAGTTTAATGTTGCAAAAAAAGTTAACCTTTACAATTTCAAATAACAACAAGAATATTTACCAGAGTGACAGTGCTTGCGTAGATACTACAATTGCTGTATATACAATGCTGCCATGCAGTTTATCATTGTTGTTGAGCAGAAAACTTTGATTTATAGAATTCAAATAAACTGTTTTATGAATTAATGCCCTACTTTATAAAAAAGTGTCTTACTCAAGCTGTGAAAATAGCAGATCTTGTTCAACACATCCTATTGGTTAATACAGAGGACAAACAACCTAATAGAATGAATGATAAAGGAATGGTTTTAGATATTCAAGGTTTATATCCAAAAGCAAACACTTCCTGATCTACTATGAATTATGCATTACACACAGATCAATAAAATCTTCATTGCTCAAAAAAGCAAAGAACAAAAACATTCTTCTTTCTACTTTGGCTATTTTGGCTTTATTTCTAAAAAATTACCCCTTTGTTACCACTGCTCAGGGGTGAAAATAGATTTAAATTTCACAGGGTTTTGATAGAAAAAAAAGTACAGAGAGAACCGACGTAATTGCCTTGTAATGCCATGGCAATCCAGACCTAATGCATTTTAAGTCTGACCGAAAAACCTGCCAACTTTTATTTAATCTTGTCTCTGCTTGGTGACGAAAACTCACATCTATGACTAGTCATGTTTTAGTCATCAAAGATCCATGTTTAGCTCATCAGTTTTCATTATTGTGATGAAAAGAAGGAGCGTCAATAAAATGATTCCATCATCCTCATCATTGACGAAAACAACACTGATACTGAGCCCTGAGTTAAGAAGGTGACTATGGGAGACAAAAGCTGGAAAGGACCAGTCGCCAAGCTGTTGAAGCTATGCTGTGGTCAGTGGCACGGGAAGGGGGGTGCTGTGGGGGCTGCAGCCTCCCTCGTCATAGCATCAGCCCCCCATGGTGGGGGGCTGTGGAGTAACATAATATTGT